TGTTTAAATTATAAATGTCTTAATTTTGGACAAAAAAAAGGGTCATCTTATACACGAGGGTGTCTTATACATAGGGCTGAACTGGCCCACCGGCATACTGAGAAATTTCCCGGGCAGACAGCTAGTGTTGCCGCAATTAGGCTGCTGGCGGCCGGAGGGAGACCTGTGCTGTCTCTGCTCTGCTCACCCGCCCTCGTGTGTTACTTAATGAGACCGGGTCTCATTAAGCTTCGCACTGGGGAGCAGAGACAGCACATCTCCCTATTTGCACAGCCAGCCACCCGCCCAGCATGCCGCAATCCTATGACCGGTCGCCCACTGGACCCCACAGGTAGCAATAATGTATGAGCCAGTGTGAGTGTATGGGTCTGTCATGGTGTGTCTATGTGTGTGTGTCTGTCATGGTATATGTGCCTGTGTTTAATGGTGTGTGTATGTCATGGTGTGTGTGTTTAGGTTACCAGACCACTTCCATTGTCAAGGGAATATTTTTTTTACTGACCTTTTTTTTTCCCCATGTCGTGCTGGTCTCCCCTTGACTGGCCCTGCCTCTATGGCAGAGATCATCAAGCTTGATGATCTGAGCCAATCCAATGTTTTGCCATAGAATTGGCTGCAAAACGCTACACCAATCAGCATCTCCTCATAGAGATGGGTTCAATCAATGTATATCTATGGGGAATGTTCAGTGCTTCCATGCAAAGCTGGGAGCCGCTGAATGTAGGTGCTGCACACTGTGCAGCACTGACACAGGAAGCACCTCTAGTGACCGTCTGAGTGACTGTCACTAGAGGTGTCACTAGGAAGCAATGTAAACACTGCGTTTTTTTCTGAAAGCTCAATATACAATTTTGGTAGGAGTGTGTATGAAGACTCGTGAAATTAAAGGACCACTATAGTGCCAGGAAAACATACTCGGACCCCCTCCCGCCCGGCTCTGGAAAGGGGAAAAGAGGTAAAACTTACCTTTTTCCAGCGCTGGGCGGGGAGCTCTCTGCCTCCGATCCTCCTCCGTTCCTCCCCGTCGGCTGAATGCGCACGCGCGGCAAGAGGAGTTTTTAGTTTGCCTCGGAGGCTAGTACATGTGGTGAGAAAAGACTTTCGTACTTATTGTGTGTCACAGGGAGGTTGCAGTGTCTATCTGGTTTTTAATCTACTATGCCGTTTGCCCTCCACTGAGGAAACACCTTGAACTCTTTGTCATGCTCCTCAAACCATTCCTTAACATTTTTTGCAGCTTGGCAGTGCGATTTATCCTACTGAATCATGTTTTCTTTTAGATCAGGTGGATGGCTGGGTGTGTGTGCATCTTTAACTGGGGAAAAGATGGCAGCAGCAGGCATTATGGGAAAAAGACAGGCTGGCGGAGGCAGTGTTATGCTCTGGGAAATGTTTTACTGGGAAACCTTGGGTCCACTGGCGTACATACTGTGGTCACAGGGGTCGCAGCCTGGCCACCCTGCGGACCTCTGCGATTGGGTACTCGCCACCATCTTTTGCTGCCCCTGCCCGTGCAGCAAACCGCCGGGGCTGCCCTCCAAGGGGTCCATCGGGTGGCCCATGCTGTCAAGACCACCCAATGGAAATGGATTGTCAGGGAGCCTGGTCAGTGCTGGGCACTTTAACAGCGCGACCGAGCCCCCTGTGATGATGTCAGACATAGAGGGGAGGAAGGGACTGCATGTCACTCCTCCAAGCTATCAGAGAGCCGCGCGGGAGGAAGGAGGAGGGAGTCAGATTGGGAACTCAAGCATCAAGCTGAGCCCACACTGGGAAGTCACCCTCCTGCAAAAGATAGGAAACAGGAGGGTGACTTAAACATTTTGTGTGTGTATGTGTCTGTATGTATGTGTCTGTGTCTCTGAATGTATGTGTCTGAATCATACAGACACATACATACCGAGACACACAGACATACAGACACACACACATACAGACACATACATTCAGACATACAGACAGACATGCATAGAGATGCACACACATACAGATACATACATACAGACTGTATGTGTGTGTGTGTGTGTATGTATGTATGTATGTATGTGTCTGTCAGGAGGTTGTATGCGTGTGTGTCTGTATGTATGTATGTGTGTGTGTATGTATGTATGTATGTGTGTGTGTGTGTCTGTGTGTATGTGTCTGTATGTATGTATCAGGGGGTGGGGGGGGGCACGGATCGGTGTTGGTGGTTGGGGGGCACGGATCAGTTTTGCACCGGGGCCTGGTATTCAAGTGGATGTTATTTTGACACATATCTTCTACCTCGAGATTGTTGCAGACCATGTACACATGTACACCTCTTCATGGCATTGGTATTCCCTGATAGCAGTGAACTCATTCAGGAAGATAATGCACCCTACAACACAGCAAAATTTGTATAGAAACGGTTTGAGGAACATGAAAAAAAGTTCAAGGTGTTTCCTTGGCCTCCAAATTCCCCAGATCTCAATCTAACTGAGCATCAGTGGGATGTGCTGGAACAATAAATCCGATCCCTGGAAGCCCCACCTCGCAACTTGCAGGACTTAAAGGATCTGCTGCTAATGTCCTGGTGCCAGATACCACAAGACACATTCAGAAGTCTTGTGGAGTCCATGCTTCAATGCATCAGAGCTGTTTTGGCAGCACGAGGGGGATCTACACAATAGTAGGCAGATGGTTTTAATGTTATGTCTGAACATCCCACCTCTCATGCCTCTCTGTCTGTAAACATATCTTTGATTATTTTCAAAATTTGTAAAGCACTCTGGATAAGAGCGATATATAAGAACTGTTAAATATAATGTAACACGAAAGTCAAAGATCACATGCCTTGGTGGCCATATTGCTTTTTGGCACAGATTTTTATTTAACGTGACTCTGTCATGGATGATTTTGTTTCCTTCTTGCTTTCTTTATGCTGCCTGTATCTTACAGGAACATTACATCATTAGGAATGCAAACCTGTATTCCTAACAGAAGATTAACCATGTCCCTAATTACAGCAGTGCCCCCCTCGCATGAGTATTAAAACAGACCAATTAACAGCTCGTACATACATTTGACAGTACAATGATTGGACCCAATTGATTCCTGCGATCCCCTCTCCCTCCGCTCCCTCCCCCCACAATGTCATAGTCGCTAAGTCTAAATAGAATGATTTGATAAATTGTATTTTCTTAATAAGGTGTTTCCCACATTCTGAATGCGCCACTTCCCTCTCTGATGCTATGTAAGCCTATTAGTATGTTAAAAATCTGATGGACGTTCCTGACGATGGGGCATCCTCAAGCCCAAACAGAATATACTAGAGATAAATACAAATGTAGGAACAGGATGAGCAAAATTCTCATTAATATGATGAGTGGGCCCGTAGAACGAGATGATCTGAAATACCAGAAGTTTTTAAACACTTTTAAATCACTATATTCAATTTCTCCCGATCACTATAATGATGCCTACTCAAGGTTATTATGGTGTCAATTTTGATGTTGGGTGCTAACTTACTGCGTCATTTTACACTGCATTAATGCACACATTCATTCATGGCGCACAGGAATCATGCTAACCAATAAACTGGCAGTACTAACTATATAAACTACTCACATATGTAACTGCATGGCCGAGTTGTGGTTTCAAGGTCTTCCCAATAGTGCTTACCCAATTCTCTGTGTCCGTCAGGATTTTCCCCGGCTTTTCAATTTAATCTGGCTCCCCTTGACACAGACCGGCTTATCAATGTTGTCATTTCTTTATCCCCAGACCCTGACTTGTTTTCTGACCATTATTTTATCATTGAACTTATCTGCAAACCATAGAAAAAAATAAAACACAATCTGGGTGCTAAACAGGATTTAAGGTGTAAAAAGTTGCCTCACACTCTGGTGCAATTCCCCAAATTACCATTACTTCACATTATCTGCAAACCATCCTAGAGCCTGTTAATACACATCTATCCTGTTATTCTCCTACAATAGGATAGGTAGAGATTCACGCTTTGCCTGCTGGTTTGGTTTTACATCCTAAAAGTGAACCAGTCCTGTTAGAGACTCTCAATTTCTAGCTTGACCAGTAAACTGGTCCTGAATGCCTTTATAATGGAGGTAGAAGTGAAAACTCCATTGCCACCTTGACGTCTGGAATAACTCCAGGGCTCAATGGCTTTAACAAGATTTCTGTGGAAGTAACACCTTGCATTGTTGTGATGGGAATTCAAAGCCATTCTCCAATATTAAATTGAGGTTGACTGCCCATCACAATGGCCTGCTCTCTCTAGGCCGCTCTTTAATATGCCTGCCCACTAGCTGTATTCCCTACACTACACTTTACTCAGATGTGCCCGAATATTATTATTTTATTATTTATATAGCGCCAACAAATTCCGTAGTGCTGTACAATGGGTGGACTAACAGACACATAATTGAAATCAGACCACTGACGTACAGGAACAGAGGGGGTTGAGGGCCCTGCTCGATGAGCTTACATGCTAAAGGGAGTGGGGTATAGTGACACAAAGGGTACACTAGTGAGTGAGCAGGACCCTGCATTTTGCTCCCTACTGCTAAAGCCAAAACTGTTGGGAGGTGTGCTAAAATGTGAACTATTGGGACTTAGAAGCAAATTCTAACTGAGTAATTGTAGCTAGTTAACATTTAACCTTAGGCTAAAATAGCTATTATGGAAAAATGATCGAACTCAGATATCGTTACATGGGGTTTGTTTAGCCTCAATTGTTCCATTTGTATTTTAACTGACCACAAATCACAGTTTAATAAATACACCCTAAAAGGGTCAAAGCACAAACACAATGGATACTGGATCCTTTGACATACACAGAGCTTGAAAAAAAAAAAAGTCAGCGTTTTATTGATTTATGTTTTACTTCAAGAATAGTAAATGTCTTTCATAAGAAAACGAAACAATAAGCAAAATAATTATTTGTTCTTTGATTGAAGCTGTAGTTCCTGTCGCTACCGGAATGCAGACAGTAGGTGGCGCCAGTGCTGCACATTTGGAAACCTGTTTCTTGGTTTGTCCCTCACTGCTTGCCATAGCCCAGGGGGGTTAATGATGGCGACTTCCCAGGACTTCCACGTCCAGATGTGTCACAAAGAAATTGTCAAATATGATCTAGAGATCAAAGCTCTGATCCAGGTACATGGGATTCCTGATAGCTGTGCTTCCTGTAACAGTGATTCAATATGGTGCTGGTAACATGGCACCTTGCTTAGCCCTTGACAGCAGGGCAGTGAGAGTCACTGAATCGAGGCAGTGAGAGTCACTGAATCGAGGCAGTGAGAGTCATTGAATCAGGTCAGGGAGAGTCATTGAATCGAGGCAGTGAGAGTCATTGAATCAGGTCAGGGAGAGTCATTGAATCGAGGCAGTGAGAGTCATTGAATCGGGGCAGTGAGAGTCATTGAATCGAGGCAGTGAGAGTCATTGAATCGGGGCAGTGAGAGTCATTGAATCGGGTCAGGGAGAGTCATTGAATCGAGGCAGTGAGAGTCATTGAATCGGGTCAGGGAGAGTAATTGAATCGAGGCAGTGAGAGTAATTGAATCGAGGCAGTGAGAGTCATTGAATCAGGTCAGGGAGAGTCATTGAATCGAGGCAGTGAGAGTCATTGAATCAGGTCAGGGAGAGTCATTGAATTAGGTCAGAGAGAGTCATTGAATCAGGTCAGTGAGTCATTGAACCTCCTCCTTAGGACTGGCAAAGCATCATGGGAGACGTAGTACACAGTAGCTGGGGTGTGAAAGGTTATTCCTAATTGTTTCTGATTCATTAGTGGGATCCCTAGAATTTATAGAATTGTGACAAGTTGAATAGAACCTGCAGTAATGTCTTGGAATCCTGCTTACAGAATACAGTTTAGACTGGCTGAGTATCATGGTAAATGCAATCTACAAATATCTGCAACACTGGGATTAGCCATGGTTGCTGTAAGGGTGCGGTGTATTAAACTGGGATGAGATTGTGTACTGCAGATCAGCTATAGATGTATTGTTGCCATTTGTTTTTATTTTTATTGCGTCATGCAACTTTTTTGAAGGGTCACCCACATAGACTTTAAGTGATAAAATCTTCTTTATGCTGGTGTGGCATGTCCTAGATATTTAGTAATTTAAGATTAACCCAAACATTTTTAAGGTTCACAATGTGGTCCATAAAAACCCTTATGCTAATATGGGAAATGCTGTTTATTTTTCTTTAGTAGTGAGTTATTTCAAAGTAGGATCTTTAAAAGTTGGTTCAATATGAAGACATTTTTCTGTTATTTAAAGGAACACCCCGGCGCCATGTTACTATAATACAGTATGTCAAATGTTTTAAACATCAACAACATACCTGCACAGGAAGCTGGATGTCTCTATTCAGCCTAGGCACAGCTGATACAGGACAGTGCTCATTGGCTAAGACCACCCAACTGATAATTTCAGCCAATGAGTGTGGTCCTGCTTAGCTTAGCATAGCTAACTGGATTAAGGCCACAGGTGCCTAGCAAGACCTGGTTAGTTGCGGAACCATTCTAAAATCGTTTGACAAATCAAACTAAAAGGCCGTCAGCGTGCTGTAGTGGTTATGGTGCTTGGAATGTTCATTTAATTTTCTATAACACTGCTGAACTTATACCATACCCAGTGCTTTATGGGGACAACACAGCTTTCTGGGAGCTTTAATTCATGTGTCACAATTCTTCTGTAGAAAGCCAACACCTGAAGTACAGATCTCAGTTTTGCATGTACCCTTGTCTTATTGAACAATCTAAAGTTAAACGGACATAGGCACCCAAACCCCTTCTTCTCATTGAAGTGGTCTGGGTGTAGTGTCCATGTTCCCTAAACTCTGCAATGTTTACATTGCAGTTTTAAGACTGACTCTAGTGGCTGTCTACCAGACCGCACTGCACTGGTGTTTGACTCTGTGAAATAGTGCTGGACATCCTCATACTTTGCATAAAGACATCCAGCATCTATAAAACCCCATATAAAAGTATTGAGGCAATACTTTCCAATGGGGAAGGCCTAAAGCACATGCGCATTATATCCCCCCCCATCGGCTGACGGAGTAGGAGGAGCACGACACAGCACCGAGGGACATCTGTGCTTGAATCTGGTAAGTGTAAAATGGTTTTTCAACCCTTTATTTGCCATGGTAGAGGGCACTATAGTGTTAGGAATACTGTATTGTATTGCCAGCACTTTAGTTTTATTTTAACAGTGTGTTTATGTGTATTATTATTATTATTATTATTATTAAAAGTTATAGATGATCTGTTATCATATATTGCGTACTAAAGAATACTCCTAATGATTATAGGACATTCGAGAATGCTCTGGTCCTCTAAGCGTGCTCACTGATCTAAATGCACAAGTTAAAGAGAAATTCCATCTCCTGAGATTGAGAATACAGGTGAGTCAACACATGTGTAAAAGCTGAATTAAAGGGGAAGACTAGACTGTAATGCTTTGTACCATATGGCGGTAATGACTGTGAATTCACACTGTTATCTATCAAACACCTGGCTATGAATGCTCACAGCTATACTCTAACACGTGCAAGCCACTGATTGTTCACTGCTAAGTTATACAGGTTACATTATTTATACTAAAGTAAATTGGCATACTGTTTTGATGCCATTCTTAATAAAACACTCTACCTGTGTGTTCTGTTATTTTCTTGACATTGTCTGCTTATGCATCGTTATACAAAAAAAAAAAATACAAGTAGATACAACTTTGCCCCAATTATTTCTGATAAAACAACTCCCTGAAGAATAGAACTATATTCTGATGCAGAATCTTTTAAGAGTGATAGTCAACATCAGCTGCATCTACTTGCATAATGCACAGGTGCCTAAAATCTTAAACAAACATGCCCAGGACAATGCTGATAATGTATGTCTTGCGTGACTTTCAAATTGTTGTGTTATCACACATGCACAAATTTGGCAGTGGCACACACAATCGCAGAGTGCAATATTGAAATGTGCATTTCGGTCATTGTCTGATTTTTTTTTTTTTGCTTATTTCTATAACTGTTATAACTCAGAGGGGTATATATGTTCTAGGATCTTGAGCAGATGGCCAGAGAGCAGGATAAGGAATCTGACAAGCAAGCCTTGCTGAAGGAGATGGAGTGTCACAAAAGGCAGATGCTCAGGTAGGTGTAGGTCACAATAGTGCTTCTCAAACTGGTTCTCAAAGACCATGTTTCACTATTGGTATTATTCACTAAAATACAATACAATAAAACAAGTGAAAAAAATGGCGCTATCAATAAAGTTATAAAATAAAAAATACAAAAAGGGGGAGCAGCACCTAAACAGTGTATTAGCCCCAAAACACTCCTGAAAAAAAAAACACAAAAAAAACCAAACAGAATTTGCAGTAGATAATTCTGAGAATATTAGGGCATTTTAAGTTTGGAAGAAGAATTTGAAAGGCTGTTTACTTGATTCAGTTTTTTCATAAACTTACAAAACAGAATTGGCTTTGACCAAACTGTATTTTTCACCTGAAGTTGCTTAAAGGGATACTCCACTGTCTAAATGGAGAAATAACTACAAATCAGTGATTAGGAAATATACCCCTATAAAAACATGCATGCATTTTATTATATATTTTTTATTGTGAATATATCCACAAACGGCTTGGGAAAGCTATAGATCTGCTGTCTCCAGCCTTTGTAAGCCTTCCCCTTCTTCCCCAGCCCAGACTTTCTGTGGCTGTCCAATCACAGATTTCCCAATACAGCTCAATGATAAGCTTTTGCAAGGCATGTGCTCTGTGCAATTTCCTGCCTTTTGAGTTTAGCCTGTTTTTTTGTCTGATTGGCACCCAAGGGGGTCTAACAAGGTTAATGCGTAAAAAATGTCAATTTCAATAGAAATCTGCACTTTTTATAAAATGAAAAAAGAAGACAAACTCTTCACACATAAAACAGTTGAGCAAGCTAAAAACTAAATTAATAGTTGCTTTTATAGTTTCTGCACTGCTTTAGTTGCACAGGCAAGCAGCAGAAGTGAGCTCTGACCAAACCAGGAAGAGTCTCCATCGGATACAAATTTTTTCTCTCTCTGTTCTGTGGGATCTAATGTTATCACTTAAAGCCCCTTAAAGCCAACAAAACATAATGGCATATATAATTCTGGTCACTGGCAGTACTTCTATTCATAATTTCTGATCAATGGAACAACTGAATAAGATGATAATAGCCATGACACTGCTGTGATCACTTTGACAGCCTTATTCATACCCTTACTATTCACACATAAAGCACTTTAGCAAGATATATTGCTTTAGGGGTCTGGAGTGCCCCTTTAATATACCAGGGAATTAATATGATATTTTTGAAAATGTTATATATTTATCGAGCTAAAAAATACAACTTTACACCTTATGTAGGTGAAATACTAAGTTGAGACATTTTCTGTTTTTGATGTTAAAGGACCACTATAGTGCCAGGAAAACATACTCGTTTTCCTGGCACTATAGTGCCCTGAGGGTGCCCCCTCCCACCCGGCTCTGGAAAGGGGAAAGGGGTTTAAACTTACCTTTTTCCAGCGCTGGGCGGAGAGCTCTCCTCCTTCTCTCCTCCTCCGTTCCGCCCCGTCGGCTGAATGCGCATGCGCGGCAAGAGCAAAATCACAGTGAGAAGCACGCAAGCGCCTCTAGTGGCTGTCAATGAGACAGCTGCTAGAGGCTTTGGGGGAAGGCTTAACCCATTCATAAACATAGCAGTTTCTCTGAAACTGCTATGTTTATGAAAAAATGGGTTAACCCTAGCTGGACCTGGCACCCAGACCACTTCATTAAGCTGAAGTGGTCTGGGTGCCTGGAGTGGTCCTTTAAGTACAAGTGAGGATAACAAAAGCAGTTTTTTCCATTTGAAAGAAATATTAAATGCTCACCATGTTATTTTTCATTTAATATTCTGTGGTGGTAACAAGGAAATACTTAAATATTGCACCTGTATTTCCTTTGAATGTTAAGACTTAGCTTTCACTAAATATATAATATAAATAAATCTGCAAATTAAATGTACAGCTACCATTACACAGTACTATACAACCAAGACTTTATTGGACAATTCATACAGTGCATAGCGATGCTGGGTGTCTGTGAAGATAGGTGTGCAAATTCCTGGGAGGATCATTAATGAGCAGTGAAGTAGCCAATAGGAGAAGCAATTATTTCATATCCCCCAAAGCTAGCCACCCCCCATGTAATCCTGCCAGGCCCTTTCATGTTAACTTCCATTGACAGCAGTTGGCTTCTTATTGATGAACAGGGACATCTGTGGTCATCCCACATGGGCCCAATCCACCTACAGACTCTTCACTCAATCACTCACCTGCCTTCTACCTGCTGTTGCTGTATATTCACTTATATCATCCTCAGCTTACATCAAAAAGTAGAGCTCCTCTATTGATTTGGGAACAGGAATATGTGTAAGTACCGGAGAATAGTTGCTTTACGTTTGTTGCACAATGAAGGTCAAAACCTAGGGGGGAAAATATATTCACTTTCATTCTTGTACAGTTTCTTTATGAGTTCTTGCCCTTTCGCCCTCTCAGAATTCATTCACACAAGTGAAAAACATCTGGAAACCGACAATTTAAAAAGTCAGTCTTGTGATCAAGCTCAAGTCATTTCTACTCCTTTCTTTATTGCAGTAATCAGACCGTATGGAGGAAGTCAAACCTTTCCTGTAAGCAGACAATTGACAACTCTGAGAAAGATGAACTACTTGAAGGAGGGGATCCTACGAGACAGAGGTGCAGAGTGTTTCTTATTCAGTGTATAGGTGTACAGAACATCCCGCTTCCTGCTGCTATAGGCTTTGTTGTATCGAATGATTCCTTGCTAGTGCATTATTATAATATATTAATGTATACAGAATAAGAAAGTTCCACCTAGTTGTATGTTTGTTGTGTTGCTGATGACAAAGTAATGAGACTTTTTTTCTTTATCAAACTTCAGGCTGGATTGCTCCAGCAACTGCCTCTTTTTGGTTTGAATCTACATTCCGGCCAGGTGCACAGTAGGGATCGACCGACATTGATGTTTTTTTAGAGCCGATACCGATTATCTGTGAACTTTTAGGCCGATAACTTACCAATATTCCCATAGGAAAGCATTGAATAATATGGGGAAATCCTAATGCGAGCATGGCTATTTCCACACACGCACATTAGGTCTCCCCCTCGGGGGAGGAGCGGGGGCGGAGCTGAGCCAGCACCGAGGGTCGTCTGCGCTGGACCCAGAAAAGGTAAGTGACAGGAGGGGAGGATGGGGCCTTGACAGAGGGGGAAGCTATAGTGCCAGGAAAACGAGTTTGCTTTCCTGGGCTGGCATGATAGCTTCCCTTTAATTTGGACTGTGTGCTGCCAGTGCCCAGTTAACCCATTGGCCAAAATGCAGAAAACATGTGTCCCCCCTCTCTTCTTCTCTGTATGATTAACCACTCCTCAGCTCATTTGAATTTATATTTCTCCCAGCAGTAGCATATATCCAGTACCATGGGAGGGCGTGTTATTATCAATTGTATAGTGTCAATATACTGCCCAATACAATACCCAGGACTTTATTATCATTGCTAGTATACTACCCACTCCCAGTGCTTTATTATCATTTATAATATAGTGCCAATATACACCCAGAGCTTTATTATCATATAGTGCCATCCACCACCACCACCCCCCTCACTGACTACCAAGGGCTTTATTATCATTTATAATATAGTGCCAATATATACCCAGAGCTTTATTATCATATAGTGCCATCCACCACCACCACCCCCCTCACTGACTACCAAGGGCTTTATTATCATTTATAAGATACTGCCAATATATACCCAGAGCTTTATTATCATATAGTGCCAAAAAACCACCCCACCCCCCTCACTGACTACCAAGGGCTTTATTATCATTTATAAGATACTGCCAATATATACCCAGAGCTTTATTATCATATAGTGCCAAAACCATCTCATCCTGCCTGGTGCAACTACCTCATCTGTGAAGTCTTCTCTCTCAGTGCTCATCCTCTTCTTAGATAGCGAGCTTTTGTTTGTATCCTGTAGCTTCATCCTCAGATGTTACTCACACATCTTCCTGGTGAGGAACACCAATTTCGATTTAAGCTGCGCACACCATATTGCATGCACAACTTGGACTGAGAGAAAGTGGCAAGTATTTCTTTTCATTGAATTTCTGTTCTCAACAGGAAAGTAGCAAAAGAAAATCTGGCCCAGTCCGCAAGCAATATAACGGAAAGCCTGATGGGTATCAGCCGAATGATGTCACAGCAGGTTCAGCAAAGTGAAGTAGCCATGCATACACTGGGTAGGTACGAGTTGTGTGTCTGCACAGGTTGTCTCTGGTTATAAGGCAAGGGACAGTGAGCACTGCCATTGATTAATAAAAGTATGGAGTGTACCTGTCTAACAAAATTTACTACAGAGCTCAAAATGTCTACTTGCCCACTTTCTATTTTCAAGTGGGACTTCAGCCCTGGCAAGTGTGGGATACGCACACACAACCACACATCCAGCAGCCATCTGTGCCTCATCAGTAGTTTATTTTATTTGTTTTTATTTTGGTGCACAGTATCAGCATGACTCTGCAGCTATGTTCTTGTTAATTGGTCAATCACTGCTGAAACGATAAGGAGAACGTCCAAGAGTCTTCCAAGAGACATTTGTTAATCTCCTTTACCTACAATAATAACTAGTTTTGTCTTTGCTTTCTTTGAACAGCAACCTCTTCCAGGACAATACTGGAAACCAATGAAGAATTTAAATCCATGTCTGGAACCATACAGCTTGGTCGTAAACTCATCACCAAATACAATCGTCGTGAACTGACAGACAAACTTCTCATCTTCTTGGCTCTGGCATTGTTTTTGGCAACTGTACTCTACATCCTAAAAAAAAGACTATTTCCGTTTTAATGGCTGCCGCGGGGTATGTCAATAAGATTGTATGTACAGACAATACAAACTTCACGATTGCCTGTCTGCATCGTTGAACATTAGACACTGTATGTCTCCCGGCACTACGTCATTAAATTACTTTGACCACGTGTGTGGAACTAATAGTGAAAGGCCTCTTGACAAACAAGAACACATTAACTAAAATTGGTTTTAGATGAATTGTGACTTCAGTTCTTTTCAGTTGTATGAGAGGAATTAAAACATAAAGAGAACATGTAAGGAAGGCTATTGTCAGCTGATAAAAGTATATGTGTTACTTTCTGAAATCTTATAGTTTCTAATGTTTATTGACTAATACAACATCTTTGTGTGATTATATGTTTGTAATACCCCTTAAATGTATACGAATGAGAGCAGCTCCATTAACTTCTTGTCTTGGCATTTACCGGAGTTAACAGTTGTTACTAATGTTAATGGCCATATTAATATATATTGGTAATTAATTTGACAACTCTACTATATTCTTGTTATGAGATATAAAACATTTACTACAATATTCCTTATCACTTATACAAAATTAAACCAGGTTCAAATTTCCAAGCTTTTTTCCCCGACAGGACCACTGCACCCAGACCACTTCACAGAGGTGAAGTGGTCTGGGTGACTTTAGTGTATCTCCTACGCAGAATACGTGGCAAGTTCACCTGGAGATTAAATTTGGATTTAATGCCTTTTCATAGAGCATTATTAGAGACCTTGTGAAAAGTGTGCAATAAGCTTATCAGTTTACAGTGAAACCAGGAGAACTCCAGTAGGCAATCTGTCAGAAACCCTCACGTTGTAAAGGCTATATGGCTATACTTTTATAGAAGCTATAATCTTATTTACTATTATCATTCCTTTAACCACTGATTCATTGGACAGCCATGTGACAAAGTAGAGGAAGTGAAATCTGCAGCAACATCAACAGCATGAACAAGATGAACCATTTGTGATATCTTATGTGGGTGCCATGACAATGCTAATAAGAAAGCTATGGAAGGCAATTTCTGCAGATCAGTCAGAGCTTTTACTAGTAGACGGTAGTGGGAGTATTCTTTGTTATTAAATATGAGCCCTCCCTTCACTGTCAAGATGGCCTCCAAAGGCATGCTTCCTGTCTCCATGCAGACCTATACTTATGGAGCACGCTAGAGTTCATATTTTCAGTGTTTAATGTATATATCATTTGATTTATGTCATGAAGGCTGGAAAATGAACAGAATGTTCTTTGAGTTTACTTTGTAATAAACCATCTATTATCTGAGCGCAAAGAATTGTCATTAATGGTACATTTCCAAGCTGAGCGAAAGTGGTAAGTGGAACCTTAGGTTTCTGTTTTGGGTTCGTTTCTATTTAACATATTTAAAAACGATCTTAAAAGAGGCATTGAGAGTCATGTTTCACTGTTTGCAGATGACCCAAAACTCTTTAAAGTAATAAAATATGAGCAGGATATTGCAGGGGGATTTAGATAGATTTGGGGACTGGGTACTTAAATCAAATGGCAGATTACATTTAATGTAGAGAAATGCAAAGTTATGCACTTCAAGGTTAAAAATGCACAAGCGATTTACAGCCTTAATGGTAGTGAGTTAGGGATAACACACGAGAAGGATTTGGGAATTGTTTTAAACAACAAACTAGGCAACATTGTGCAATGTCAATCAGCAGTTGGTAAGGTATTGTCATTTATAAAACAGTGCATTCATTCTTGGAATAAAAACATACATTTGCCTCTTTATAAATCACTGGTAGACCGCACCTTAAATATGTTGTGCAATGTTGGGCACCTGTTCTAAAAAAGGATATTATGGGACTAAAAAAAGTGCTGGGGCGGGCTACAAAATTAATAAATGTAATGGAGCATTTTAGTTACGAAGAAAGGTTAAATCTCTTCCGTTTAGAAAAAAGGCGCCAAAGGGGATTTGATTGCATTATACAAATATATTTGGGGCCAAAACAAACCATTGTCTAGAATCTATTCATAAAAAGGACGATAAGGTTTTTTACAGTAAGACCAAATAAGGATGTGCATTTCTCTGCCTGCAGAGGTGATTTTATCACAGTCTATACAAATGTTTAACCCCTTAGTGACCGAGGACGGTTCAGGACCGTCATCGGCATTTTTGCCTTGAGGACCGATGACGGTCCTGAACCGTCCTAACGGTCTCCATTACTTACCTGATCGCCGTCGTTCCCCCGGCGGCGATCAGCGTGGCTCCGGTTGTGGGGAGACTGCCTGCAGCCCAGACAGTCTCCCCACACTGAATTAGGACCCCTGTGGCCATGTGATCGCTTAACAGAGCGATCACATGGTCACAATAGGTGTCCATGTGTCTGCCTGCAGGGGGACTGTGTGTGCTGACAGGCAGTCTCCCTGCTAGTGTAAAATCAGAAAAAAAAATAAAGTTAGTGTTAATAAAAAATTAAAAAAATTATATATGTGTATATATGATATATAGACATATATTATATGTTTATAATATGTCTATATATCATATATATATAATGCCATACTGAGTGTATTTTTATATTAATATGTACTTATATTAATATAAAAATACACTTATAATTAAATTATACACATATATATAATATATATAATAACTATATATATTGTATATATATATTATTATAAAATATAAATAATAAGTAATTTAAATTAAATAATTTTTTTTAAAAATAATAATAAAAAAAAAAAAATTATATATCTATATGAAATTTTATTCTAACTGTATTTTAAAATTAATATATATATATTTATATCAAAATACACTTAGAATGAATTTGTATATATATCTATGTATATAAAAATAAATAAAAATAATAAGAAATATACATATGTCCATATACAAAATTTCATAAATAATTATATAAATATACACGTAGACTTCAAATATATAAATATGCATATATATTTAAATTCTACGTGCGTATTTATGTAATAGTTTTACATAATTCAGTAATTTTATTGATTGCAATTTAAGGGACCTGCCTGCCAACCCAGGCCGAAATTCCAGAGAATTGAATTTGCTAGCACTGTATTTTACCCTGTAACGTTCTACGACACCCTAAAACCTGTACATGGGGGGTACTGTTTTACTCGGGAGACTTCGCTGAACACAAATATTAGTGATTCAAAACAGTAAAACATATCACAGCGATGATATTGTCAGTGAAAGTGACTTTTTTTGCATTTTTCACACACAAACAGCACTTTTACTGATGATATAATTGTTGTGATACGTTTTCCAGTTTTTAAACACTAATATTTGTGTTCAGCGATGTCTCCCGAGTAAAACAGTACCCCCCATGTACAGGTTTTATAGCATTTTTGAAAGTTACAAGGTCAAATATATGGGTCAAATATTTTACATTGAAAATGGCCAGGTTGGTTACGTTGCCTTTGAGAGCGTATGGTAGCCCAGGAATGAGAATTACCCCCATGATGGCATACCATTTGCAAAAGAAGACAACCCAAGGTATTGCAAATGGGGTATGTCCAGTCTTTTTAGTAACCACTTGGTCACAAACACTGGCCAAAATTAGCGTTCAATTTAGTTTTTTTACTTTTTTCACACACAAACAAATATGAATGCTTACTTTGGCCAGTGTTTTCGACTAAGTGGCTACTAAAAAAGACTGGACATACCCCATATTGAATACCCTGGGTTGTCTACTTTAAAAAAAATATGTACATGTGGGGTGTTATTCAGAGATTTATGACAGATAATAGTGTTACAATGTCACTATTGATAAATTTAAAAAATTTATGTTTTGAAACCGCAATATTCTACTTGTACCTATAGCCCTATAACATGCAAAAAAAAGCAAAAAAGCATGTAAACACGGGGTATTTTTAAACTCAGGACAAAATTTTGAATCTATTTAGCAGTTTTTTTAATTCGCTTTTGTAGATGAGTAAAAGATTTTTCAAGTAAAAGTCAAAAAACATGTATTTTTTTCAATTTTTCATCATATTTTTTTATTTTTTTTAAATTAAAATACATGAGATTATATAAATAATGGTATGTAAAGAAAGCCCCTTTTGTCCTGAAAAAAACAATATATAATTTGTATGGGAACAGTAAATGAGAGAGCGGAAAATTCCAGCCAAACACAAACACCACAAAAGTGTAAAAATATGCCTGGTCGCAAATGTACAACATCGCAAAAACAGTCCAGTCCTTAAGGGGTTAAACAGCAACTGGATTAATACTTGCAAAAACATTATTCAGGGATATCATTTTTAATTTGTGGGGTAACAGCTTCTTGATCCAAGGAGAAATCTGACTGCCATTTTGGGGTCAAGAAGGAATTTTTCCTCTTGTGTTGCAAAATTGGAAAGCGCTTTAAACTGTTTTTTTTTTTTTTGCCTTCTTTTGGTTTAACAGCGAAAACAGATGTGAGAAAGGCTGAACTTGATTCACGCATATTTCTTTTCAGCCTATGTAACTAGGTATATAAAAAGCTGTTGAATTATATATGTTTAGCAAAGAATAGCATGAACCATGAAAGGACCCACCGTGTCAAAACTATAAAATGTCTGTGGCCGGTGTAATTTGCTTAGACTCATGCCAATTCCTGCTGTGTGTGTGTATATATATATATAATTTTTTTTGTTACAGGAGTGTTGGAATTGGTGGTTCACAAGTATATTCTTCATTGTTAATAATAATATTGATATCGATATACTAAATGTTGAGTAATGACATGGACTGTTTGTGTCCCAACCATTTCTCATTACCCAAATAGCCAAAATAACTTCCTTTGACTTGATATTAATCTGTCTACATTTGGACTCCTTTACCATTGATCTTCATGCACATTTCCCCACAGCTGTGTCTTTCATCCATTGCAATATGTCTAGAACTGTTTCCTAAGAACATAACTCCCCTGGGATATTATCTTGCTTGGTTTTAACTGAAACGCTTTGGTTCTTGGAGTTGAAAATTAGGCATTTATTTGTTTTGTATCATTCTGATGCTAACTCACTGGATACTTTTGCTTACTCTACGTATAGTTTTGGTATCATTTATATTATTGTTTAATTGTTGATATTAATGTCAACTCTTCTCTATAAATTTTCTAGATTACTAGCTGGAATAGCCAACAGTCATTAAAAGAGGTAGGTGGCATGGATGCAGGATGGGTAGGATATAATTTTTTTTAAAGGAACACTCCAAGCACCAGAACCATCACAGCATACTATAGTCATCTTATCAGGAGAGCCCTGGAACCCCTTCAGTGTATGAAGTCAAACTGTTTTAGAACAGTTGGGATCCACCAAGTGCCTCCATTACATAAAAGTAGATTTGTTTTTGTGTTAGACCCCCCTGCTACTGTTAGTCAATTCATTAGAGTTAAACTTTATCATTTGTCATGCAAATATCTTGATTTGTACTTCTTGAATCATGTCAGAAGTGTTATTTTTAGCAGTGATTGCAAAAATCACTGCACCTTGTGTCAGGGGAAGAGTAAATGAATTAGATATATAGTAAGGCGTAGCCTGGAATTGTGGGAGGGGTTACCCGGCTATAAAAGCTCAGGCCCCAGCCAAATCTACACTGGAATCGCTGGGTTCATTCAGAACCTTTGAACTTCCGGTTCAAACTCACCAGGATATCGCTCCCACGTGTTCCGCTCCAGTCTAAGTGCTCCCTGCTAACCCTGTTCGGTACAAGCCCGGCGGTCTCCGTGCCCGGCATCAAGAGTTCCAGCCCGGCTTACTATCGGGGTTCCGGCGAACTCCCATCCTCCTCAGCCATACCCACGGCGGTTTCAGGAACAGGAAACATACTTACCTACTCCAGGGTCCCAGAACCGTGAGTCTCATCCACACCACTCTCAGCCAGACGCCTGGCGTCCATTCACACTTTACACACCTGTTCACTAAGGACTGTCATTCATACTTACCTTACCGCTCCGGGCTTCGTTCGGTACCGCACTCCACAGGCACATTCTCCCCCTGGCACTTACCCTCCAACGCTGGTCGGTAAACTGGCCACCCGGCTGAACTTACAAATTTTTTCTATACTAACAATATGCATGGCTGCTCACGACACCCCCTGGTGGGGAAACAAAAAAAAAAAAAAATATGTATATATACATCAGCACTTGGAAATGTTATATGTTTCTGTTTTCTGATACACATCGGCTGCTCAGAACGAACCCTGACGGAAATACATATTGTTACACAATGTTATGCTTTTAAATAGTGTCTGATC